CCGGCGAGCAGTGGTGTGAGTCGCTCCGTGCGTGGTATTACTTTTGCGTTATCGGTTTCCAAGACTCGATCGCGATGAATGTAGGGACAAAACGCTATTGATTTGTACACCCTGTCAGTAACAAGTAACGTTCTTCGATTAATTATTAAGTTTCTACAACTTGTGGTAAATTGTGGTACTTTGTCGCGGTTACATCTCGTTTACGCAACGCGCTTTTAATTAACTATCGATTTCGTGTAATCTGTTCCGTTTTCGGGAAAAGAGAGAAATTTGTACGACTTCGGTGTTTGCGCTGTAATTCGCTATGTCGTTCTTCGCAACTCGAACGGGCAATAAGTAAAGAAAGTCGCGTATCACACGTCGTTACATTATGTAAGTGCAATCGAAGATTATTTCGCGGTATTTTACATCGCGTACGGGATGTGCCCGAAATTTCGCGAGCGAGTGTGGTGTAAGTGCAACAAGGAAATCCGAGAGGAGGAGGAGGCCGAGGTGGCATCGGGCAACGGCGGAGAAATGGTGAGGTAAGTGTCTCACATTTTTATGTTATCTGCTACTTGTGCAAAATAAAACATCTGTATTTTTATTTAACTTATTCAAATGATTCGAACGCGGAGTCGAATAAGTGTTAGAGACAAAAGCATACGTATACAATTTTGTGAGTTTATAGTTAAAAGGAAAACTTTTTCAGTATTCTATATAATTATTTTAGTAAATATCTATTTAAAAAAATATTAAATATAAAGTATATTTAATACAATTATTTTGATTTTACGTAATTACTCTATAATAATCATATATATATTTGTATTTTTACAGTTTAACATATATAGTTAAGGATGTACAACTCTCCTGTTGCGAATCGTTTCAGTGAGTTATAAATTACTTTTTATTTTAAAATGACGTTGATCATACAATTATTTCTTTGCATGTATACAAATTCATAAAAATTTACAATGCTCAACTACAAGCTGCGCGAGGCGCGCGTTTTGTCATTTCTAGTAAACTATAAAAGTGAGATGAGAAAACAGTATACATATTGCAAACATAATTGTATCAATATTTAAAAATAATATTGCTACAACATTACTGAAGTAATATTGTAAAATAATATCTCTGCAATATCTGTGTGCCATTGCACTGCAATATGCAATGTTGGAATGTCGCAGCAATGTTGTTGCAGGCTTTTGTGTTGTACGCCCAGTGAGAAATGATTCGTCGAACGACGTCGAAACGACGTCGAATCGACATCGACACCGTCGAATTGACGTTGATACGACATCATTTCGACGTCGATCGACGAATCATTTCTCAGTGGGTGGGCAGTTACATTTTTAGCGAAAAAACTGTAACTAGATACTTTTATAGAGTAACTTTCCCGACCCTGCATTTTACTTTGAAAAAAAACTCTTGTTCAAAATGCCGTGTTGTCCCGCGATCACTTGATTTTCAGGTTAAATAAGAGAAAATTCTCTCCGCGAATAAAGGCAAATTATTGACGTCGCGATATTTATCATGCGTTTCTGCCTCACTTTAATTACCACTTGCCATTACTTCGTCATCGTTTTACGTCTCATTACGCAGCACTTACGTGCGTACGCTTTTGCGTACGTAAAAGAGCGAACCGAGATAAAAAGAACGTTCAATTTTAGCGAAAAAACTGTAACTAAATACTTTTATAGAGTAACTTTCCGACCCTGCATTTTACTTTGAAAAAACTCTTGTTCAAAATGCCGTGTTGTCCCGCGATCACTTGATTTTCAGGTTAAATAAGAGAAAATTCTCTCCGCGAATAAAGGCAAATTATTGACGTCGCGATATTTATCACGCGTTTCTGCCTCACCTTAATTACCACTTGCCATTACTTCGTCATCGTTTTACGTCTCATTACGCAGCACTTACGCGCGTACGCTTTTGCGTACGTTACACGTAAAAGAGCGAGCCGAGATAAAAAGAACGTTCGATTTTAGCGAAAAAACTGTAACTAAATACTTTTATAGAGTAACTTTCCCGACCCTGCATTTTACTTTGAAAAAACTCTTGTTCAAAATGCCGTGTTGTCCCACGATCACTTGATTTTCAGGTTAAATAAGAGAAAATTCTCTCCGCGAATAAAGGCAAATTATTGACGTCGCGATATTTATCATGCGTTTCTGCCTCACCTTAATTACCACTTGCCATTACTTCGTCATCGTTTTACGTCTCATTACGCAGCACTTACGCGCGTACGCTTTTGCGTACACGTGAAAGAGCGAACCGAGATAAAAAGAACGTTCAATTAGTCACCGTCCGCTTGTTCTCGGCGGTAACCACGGCGACCGCCGTTACCGACGGGGTGTCTGGGTCGCGTCGCGGACGGCCGCTCGCCGCCGTGCCAGTTCGTCCAAGATGGCGACGCCCAGCGAGCTGTCCCTCGAGGAGATTCGCAACTACCTGCTGGAAAACGGGGGTACGACGCGCAATCACGACCTGGTGAAGCACTTCAAGCGGTTCCTCACGGACCCGGAAACGCGAGGTGGGTGCGCGTTCGCGTCGCCGCGTCTCGCCTCGCGAGGCGTCCCGTCGCGAGGCGTGACCGCGCGCGTCACGCGTACGCGGTGTAAACACCGTACGACTCCGTCGCGGTGCGTTCAGCCGTGGTGTGCAACGCGGTGCGATTTCGTGTTACAGTCGAGGCGAGGAATCGTTTCAAGGAGTACGTCAACATCCTGGCCACCATAAAGAACGAGGAGGTATGCCAATACGGGGTCCCGTCTCTCCCCCCCGCGCCCCGCGCCCCGCGACCCCCCCGTTCCGTTACTGACAGGAGAGCGACTTGTTGCGCGCCCGGCGCGACGTTGCCGGCTCCGCTCGCGATCAGCTGAAGCCGCGTGCGCGATCAGCTGAAAAATTCCCTCCGGAGCGGAGTCGTCGCGACGTCTCGAGGATCCTTCCGGCTGCAGTTTGGACTCGCGACCTTCGGTCTTGGCGAATGCCCGGAGCGCTTATCGCGTGAATGCGCGCTATCGCGGTCTGTATCCTCGAAATAAAAGCCGTTAGGCGTGTCCGAGTAACGGGGGAAAGATTGCAGGGAGGCCTCTTTCGACGGGTCTCGGCTTCCGACGTCGGTCAATTAACATTTCCAGCGAAGGAACGTTTCTCGGCGTTTCGTCTCGGTGATATCGCTGTCGTAGTCGATTCCGCGCACCGGAGCAACGATGGTAAGATTTTTGCGTTTAGGATAGATCTATTGACTTAGACTCCGGCAACGAGAAAGCGATGGCAGAGAATTGTAGAAAGTTTGATGGAGACGTTACTAGTACGAAAACTTTCTGTGAATATGGGAGAGAATTTTAGCCATTCGTTTCGGTGCACTGTTAGTTCCCTTACGAGAAGACTCGGAGAAGCGAGAGTCAAGTGAAAATTATAGGGATTGGACGACATCAGGCTGGCAGATGGTTTGATTCCGACGTTTCGACCATACAGATTGTGGTCCTTTTCAAGGAATTTGATAATAAATATCACGTCATCGATATTAAATTAAAAACGGATGTTTGACATCCGTCTCTGGGCGTCGCTCGGAGAACTGTGTTCGAGGGCACGTCCATTCGACGTGACGACCACAGCAGGACAGACATATATTCCTTGAAAAGGACCACAGTCCGTGTAGTCGAAACGTCGGAATCAAACAAATAAACCATCTGCCAGCTTAATGTCGTCTAACAGTTCTTTTTATTATTACTATTGAACTCTCGGGATTTTAATGCCTTCGATTTTTCTCGGCGATTGACGCGACTAAAAGTAAAGTTTGGCGAAACGCGGGTCAGAGTCCGCTGCTCAGAGTCGACCCACCCACGCGGAGTGCTCTCAAGGTGAACGTTCCTTAACAGGGTGAAAAGTACTTGGTCCTCAAGAAGAAATACCGGCAACCCTTCTTAGACCTTTCGTCCCCCAAGCAAGCGGGGTCCCCCCTGGCCACCCCCGACTTAGCCACTCCGGTCTCTCCCTTGCGCGAGCCTCCACCTTACCGGCCGCCACCCCCGGCGCCCCTCAGCCCGTCCTCGAGCGGCTCCCATGCGAGCCTGGAGGAGAGCCTGGCGTCCGCGTCCGCGCGCGAAAGAAATGACGACTCGGGGTCCGTAGCGTCGTCGGCGTCGGCGTCGTCGCCGCCCGTTCCACCGCGTCGCAAGAGTCAGGACAAGCTCAAGGTGGAGAACAAGGAGAACGTCGACAGAAACCGAAACAGCTCCTCGGAGGCAGTTATAAAGGTAGGCGCTCTTCGTTTTCATTCGCGGAGAAACCGATATGGTTACCACGTGTCTAATTAGAGTTGGCACAGCCCCAATAAATAGAAATAGTAATATTTCGGACAGCTGTATCTGTGGTTGTCTTACCCGCATTGGTATGGTAAATAGTAGAGACAACTATGTGCGTTTTGTGCGGCAAACTTAGTGAATGCTGCAACGCAAAACAATGTAGACGCCCCTACGATTTATACGGCAACATTTAAATTTTAGTTATTTTCGCCGTAGCCGGTCTTTCCGCGTTATGTCACTTATAATTATGTGATCGATTTGAAAGTCTTTATCTTCGCTGAATTTATTTAAACGTATATAAATAAATTTTAGAATATTACAAAAGTACGAGGGGGAAACCGCTGACCAAAATCTTGTACACCAATGCCCACTAATGCCCAGTGGGCATTTATGTTATCTTATTTAATCTTTATAATGCCCCAGCAAGGCCTAATGCCCAAAAAATGCCTAGTAATGACTGGTAATGCCCAGTAATGTCGCAAATCTGTACACCACAATGCCCTCAGCGGTTTCCCCCTCGTAAAAAAATTAAAAACTACTTACAGAAGTGCAAGTTGATCTCGGATGTTCTATATAGATTTGCTAAACGTGAGTTGACTTCTCGGCAATCAAACAGTTTCCTTGAAAGCGTACTCGCGATTGTTATCAGTGTCGTCGTTATCAATTTTTGCCCGACTTATCGCGCCGGGCGATGACGATTACTTCTCTGTGAATTTATCTACGATATTTCAACAATTTGGCAGAACCAGAAAATTTTTATTATAAAAACGATGAAATATAGGTAATCACGGCTTTTATACAATAACTATATAATTGGTAAACTATTCTAGAATTTTACATAAATTTCGCGTGGCATATAATTGTGTAGTATTATTATATTTTTGAGGTCAGTTTCTAGTTTATTAATAATATACAGTTACCGAGATTAGACTTATATTGGTTCATGGACTGATTCATTATTTGTTATTTGTCGCGTGTGTCATAAATTAAATCGGGAATCGAAACTGATGAATTCCAGGAGGATGAAGCTGTACCGACGACGAATCCGTCCTCGGCTGAGCAACTCAGCGTGCGTGAACGGATGCAACGCTTCAATCGTATGGCCAGCGAAACCGATCTTCATGCCCGGCCTAACGAAACGACCGTCCCTGCTAGGAAACGAACGGATAAGGTAAGCGCATCTTCTTTTGTTTTACAGTTGTTACGCGTAATAATGCGTGTGTATGTGTGCGAATGATTAAAAAATCGCGAAAAATAGCGGAAAGAGCGTGAGAGAGTGAGCGGAGAAAAGCTAGAGACTAAGTTTAAATAATATTAAGTTGCAAATAATAAAATAAAATTACGGGGGAAAAATGCGTACACGCAGATTTCGCGCAAAAAAAAATGGTCGCAATCCATTAAATAGATTAGAGTGCATTTTCGGGGTCTATCATGTACCGTCTTTCGGGGGAAGGACGTTTGTTACACCTCGGCTTCTTGGCGAGGGTTAAATCATGGCGCTCGTCGTGTTGTGACATCGCCGGGCAGCTTATGCTTTCCAAACACACGCGGGGACACAAAGGGTTCAGGGTCCCGTATTGAATTATCCCGTCGGGGCTTTAAATACTACGGACGAGCGATTCGGCATGGAACGATCCACGCGCGCGGACGCCTATACATCCTTCGAAGGGCGGGAGGAAGGATGCGGTGTGTACAAGGCTGACTGCCCATCTTGCATACCGAGTAGGCTACTAGGAATCCTTTCTCCGTATCCTTTACACGCGCACTCGCGACGGTTCTCCCTTTCTCGCGTTCGCCCATTCGACCTCTCCCTCTCTCCTTCCGTCGCGCGCAATCTGCCATCTCTCTTCCTCCGTTTATCTTGTCGTTCGTGTGCCGTTTATCGCGGCGAGCAATATTCATCGCATTTGAATATCCTGCGGGCGGTATCTCGCGTAGCGATCAGGATGTTGCGCCGATGTTGCCGTAAATCATAATTAGCCGCGCCTGAAAATTAAAAGTAGAGGAGGAGAGAGGTCTCGAGATCTCGCGAGGGGAGGGAGCGGGGGACAAGCTCCTTTCCGCCGCAGCCAACAAAGTTGGACGCGGCACACCGGCAGGATGTGCCGCCCGTCCAGTACGCGGCCGATCCTCCATCATAATTTCGATATATTTATCGGATATCACGATTAAAGGCGCCGACCGGTTAAGACGCTCCACAAAGGGAAGAAGCGCGGCCGTTTCACGCTTCCTTCGCCCGATTACGACCGGATTGTGCTCTCGGCTGGCCCCTCGCGCGTGGCTGCTTCGAAATTTGCTTGCTCCGTCAACGGGGGAACTGAAAATCTTGCTCATTCTGTTGATTAGAAAAACAAAGTTTTAAGTAATTAACTACTTACTGTCTCGTCTCATCTCGCTTGTTTTTAACCGTGAAATGACATGAACTTTCTGTTCCGCCATTATATCGAGTGAATTAGAAGAGGAATATCCAAGGGGGTAACCGCTTAATGTAATTGTGGGACAGTGCCTATGTCCACGATGCTAGAACTTGATCCAAGTTCTAGTTCTGAGAGATCTGTAGCCAATCAACTTGCAGCTTTTCCGTAAGAGATGCAAGTTGATTGGCTACACATTTTTCAAAACTAGAACTTTGACACAGTTCTTGGATCGTGGACACAAGGCTTTACGAAATCCCCATGTAATCGTTTCGTCTTCATTTTTCAATTTCTTCACTTGTTATGTCTTTGAGATTTAACGTCACATATTTTTAAGCGTGCGTACAAGAAAATTGTTTGCAATCAGATGGAATTATTTGTATTGAGATGAAATAGTGTGACATGAAATGAAACCATGTAATCGGTGGGACAACATTTCAACTAGTGGTTACTCCCTTGGGAATATTGTACACAGCTTTTTTTGTAAGATTGTGGCTTTGTGAAATCGATGTTCTTCCCGCAAACGGAGCCTCGGATATAATGTTAACGGCCACCGAAAGATTTTGACACATTCTCTCCGATACGACAGTTTCGTTACAAAAGGAAACTGTTTATTGCCGCGTGTATACATTGAATGGCCCGTGATAATTATGTATTACTCAGACGCCACGGTCCGGTCGTGGCGGGCCGCCTTTCATATACGATTCGACCGGGCCGGCCGTTAATTTTTATTGCTTGTAAGCGCGGAAAGGGTTTTCGGGTCATGCGGGGAGAATCCTCTCGCCTCCGGACATCCTGTAATCTCCTGGGAAGCCCGTGGGTAGAGGCTCGTCGGCCTTTCTTTACAGTAATTATCATGCAACGTGGCCGCGCGATTCCGCCCTTTGCATCCCTAATGACCGTTTCGTCTAGCGCGGTGTCGCGTGCCGCGCCGGTCTGCCGACCAATCGCCCCGTCAACACATTCTACGTAGTTTCCCCATCATATTTTCTTCGAACGGCCGATCGCGAGTCATTGAACGCGCGATCAGGTTCGTCACGATGGAAGCTCGTGACGGAGGAAAGCGAGGGAAATGGAGAAATGCGGGCATTTTGGAACGAAAAACCTGATAAATCTAATCTACAATGTGCGCCTAGGAACGTTCTACTTTGTAGCCGATGAATACGTTTAAAAAATTTGTGCAAGCTGATAAATTGTACATTTGTACAATTGTCGGCACATTTTTTAAACGTTTTGATTCGTTTATATAAAATGGAATGTTTCTAGACACAAAGAGCTTAATTATTTGGAAATATATTTATTTTAATTGAATTTAATCTCGCTTCGCATTTGTGTGAAACAAACTCTTTGTACTTTGATCTTTAAAAGTTTCGGACACGTTTAATCATCGAAACATGAAGTTGCGCCCGTTTGTAAACAGTAGGCTTTTTCAACAGTGAAGCTTCTTGTCTATAATGTAAATGCGAGCGTGGGTGGCGAGACATTTTATCTATCGTACTTTCCTGGGAAAATTCTCGGTTACTTCTATTTTTCAGTGTAAAATCTTCAAGGTACCAAAATAATCACGAGTACACCTGCGTGGGTAAAGCTTCGGAGATCTGTTTCTGGCGACCATTCGTTTCGTCAGCCGTAACATTGAACGGTCTCACGAATTACCGCGAATCTCCGCGGAAGTAAAGATTTTGACATTGTTCATCTCGAAATGTTCGCAAAGCGGGGAGGAGGGAGGGTCCTTTTACTTGGAAAGTGCACCTCGCTTGTACGCTCGCGTATATGCGCGCGCGAATGCCGACGGCGCCTTCGTCGGGCTTCGCCTAACAAGAAGCTCGCTTTTACTTCGGCACCTCGAGGACGCGTTCTAATTAGGATCACGCGTGTTCGCCTCTTATGCAGAGGGCGAGTCTTGTCGAGCGAGCCTCGTCCCTTCCCTCGCGAGCGCGGCAAAGAGAGAACGAGAGGGTGGAAACTCATCGTAAAGGCGCCTAACACGGCCATGCCGAACTTGGAATTTCTGCCGTATAGTTCCGCATACATTAGGGACCTTGGGTGAAACTTGGAGGGTAGTTTGCCTCTCGGCAACGAAAGCAGGCGAGGGCTGAAGTGAAGCGCAGCGTGCTGCTGAGGGACGACCGGGGGGGGGGAGGGGGGGGACAAGGGGGAGGGGTGAGGTTGGGTGTAAACCGCACAAAGTAATCTTACAGAATGTATATGCAAAGAGGTTCAACGGCGTGGCGTGGCGAGGCGAGGTGAGGAAGCGAGGGCACAGCTTGCACATGATTCTATCCGCGACAATCTCGACAAGACACCTCCGCAGGCAAACTTACTTCGTGCAGCTTACTTCCGAAGCACCGTCGACTCTTGATCGAGCTTGATTATTCCCTCTAATTAGCTTGCGCTCGATAGTTCTAAGTTTTATTTTTCCAAGTGTAAACTATTTCGAAATTACTAAGATCTCTCTCGGAGCGTAAACGTTAATGTTGATGTAATTAAAAAATCTCAGGAGGAAGGAAGCTTTATACTCCCTAGAGAACGCAAAGATTTTCCTTCGCAGTGATTTAGATTCGAAATGTTAACACGAGATCAACGAAGGTTAACTCGGAACTATCTCTTTACCGTGCAATTGCCCGATTATCTTTCAAATCTAAATTGTTGCTGCTGCTAAGTATATCTAAATGTCAATCTGTTCAGCGAGCTTAAGCACGCTTCGTTGTTTATTCAAGAAATATTTCTGTCATTAATCAAACTAACGGCATAGAGCACTTGACAGGTGCACCTGGCCGCGGTGGTTTAAGTGCGTTGCTTGGTTTCTGTAAGAGGAGAAAGAGAAAGAGAGAGAGAGAGGAAGAATGATAGATACGCAGGAAACCATTTATTCATTCCAAGTGGCCGGCAGATACGCAGATAGCGAACAGTGATGGAAATAAAATCGTTTACATCTTGTTCCTTTAATTAGGCAAATTCACTCGGGCAGGAGTGCCAGCTGATAAGCGTCTTTGAGATAAGCCCACTCATTACCGTCGGGATTTATCGACGTAGCCGATGAACGCGCGAGGTATCGCTCTCCCCCGCGTAAATTCTTTTTTTTCCTCCCCTCCGTCATCACGCTATCGCGTTCGCGCATGTAACACGGGAAAATCGCCTAAGTGCCGGTGGCCGTTCGCGAGAAGGTGCGCGTTCGGGTAGCCGCGTATCTCTCGTAGCGTCGAGCGCGATTATCGGCTATCGAACGTTCTACGCGTAATCGGGTAAATTATGGGCACGGCGCTTAATACGCACGGCAACATTGCACTTCGCTCGTCGGAGGATAATTAAATATCGCCGGTTAAATTTAATAACCGGCCGGATAATTGCCGGTTGCGAATACGATGCCACGACGATAACTCACCGCGATTCTCGTTAATAACGACGTTGAGGGATCTAGCAAACGTGATCCGTCGGCGACCCAATTTTCTTGGCACTAGGCGCCAGATGCGTGCGTCTACGGATCTACGCATGGTCTTGGTACTGTGCAGCGCGCACCAATATAAACAAGCTTGTCTACAAGAGTAGTTAGCACCCACTGTTTCCGTGTAACGGGCGACTAGATACACCTCTAACAGGTCCGCCGACATTTATTCCGGCCTATTACGAGTTAATCTTGAAGGCACACACACCGCGTATTATCATTTAAATTGGTGTCGTTATGCGCGCGCATTAAATTTGTTTGCTCAGCGGCGGCGACGCCTCGCTTCTGCCTCGCCTCGCTTTACTTCCGCGG